AATTTTTCTATAGATAATAAATACTATATAAAAAGTTAACAATTCCTAATAGCCTAGAGGTCCTAGTAAATATGATTTAGATTTACAAGAACTTTCAAATTGGCTTTCTCATATCAGAGTATTGATCTCGTATATATATCACATTTTGAGACAATTTCATACACGGCATTTTTTTATAAAAATAAATAAATTGTTCTTAATTTAGTCAGAAATTTAAGTCTTCCATTAAAGTCCTCGTATGCATGAGACAACGTTGAACTCAAAGAAAATGTAGCTCAGGCTGATAGACATTTTCTGCTAGTGACCACGTTGTCAGTGTCAGTTTGGCGAGAAATGTAATATGTGAAGTCTAGAAAAGGTTATTATTGTACAAATACTGCACAAGGTTACAAGATCAAAAAGAAATTCATTACGGATCAATGTACGTTCAGGGTAATAACAAAAAAAATTATTAGACATGAGATGTTTTTCACTATTCAGTCTTCTTTAAGATGCATAAATAAAAACTAAACGTAAGCAAAAAATTAGGTTTACGCCAAAGCAGTAAACAACCTCTGTGTGACCATCTTTTTAAAATATTTTTATACTAAATAAGAAAATAATACAATTTCAGCAGCGTCCATCTCATCTGAATCTCTGGAAGTGTTTTGAAAGGTTTATTGAAAGCACCGGGGCTCTTCTGTCAGACTTCTACAGGAAATAAAAAATTCTTGAGAATGAAAACAAGAACAGACAAGATGAGCAGGAAGACAGTGAAAAATCGGAAAAACGATGTTATCAGCGATTGATTGATCGGCCGTGTAAAATTCTTCTATACATAGTTAGTTGTCTAGTATTAGTTTAGTTTTAGATTCTAGATAAAAAAAAATATTTCCATTTATATGTATCGGGTCCTCATGTACCATGTAATCTGTATTATTATATCATAGTAAGCTGATATTTACATTCTCTCTGCGTGTTAAAATTGTAACCAGTTCTTAATGTTATTGTAACATTGCAGTGTTCAAGGTTAGTTTATATCCACCTATTTGTAATGGGTTTTGAATTTTACTGTAACTGGACAATTTCTTGTAATTGTTAATACTGTATAACGGTCTTGTCAACTTTTATAATTTTGGTTATTAATAATTTCCGATGCAGCGCTCTGAGGTCCTAATAACTTTTTTCAGCGTTACTTTTCCCCTTTTCCTTTATACTTCTCCCTTCAGAACCCTTCCTTTAACCTTTTCTTCACTCCTTTCTCTTCCTAGTGGGTTAAGTTTGCAAAAGCAGACAGCCCTTCCTCCTCCTTTATTATTATTGTTATTATTATCTCATCTGAATTTTTTTTTCAAATACTGTCTAAAAACGTAATGCCTAAGTAACATCGGCAAAAGTACTCTTCTGCAGTACGTCTGTCATACGCTCATGTCTCTCCAGTCTAATAGGTGCTTGTATATGAAGTTAATAATTAAGTATTTTATGACATTTGACAGACACTAAGCAACCTTAACAGTATAATTTTTAAATATAACTTTGTATATCTACTTTTAAAAGCAACTGCTATGTTTGTCTGCTAAATCTTTTATCCAATTAATTTGTTCATAAAATAACTTGTTTACGACTCATTATTAAGAAACTGTTTACTTTATCTTATACTAGATGTAAAGTACACAGTTCATTTTGAAACTGCCTATTACTTTGTCATTAATGATAAATTTATTGAACTCACTAGGAAATTAAATTTCTTATTAATTTAGTTTATTAATATATTTAGTGTGTTAACTACATACAGTGAAATGGAAATTCTCAAATCATAAATAATTGATAAATTTTGTAAGCTTAAAAATTATAATAAAACAAGATATATATCTAATAGTTATTGATTTATTGTAATTTACTTACCACTGTTAAATAAATAATTAGAGATCTGAAATCAACACATTTTGCTGCAAAGATTGATTTCATTGAAGAAGTTAAACAGTTTTTTAAATTTTTATGTAATTTAGATGGGAATATATTTTCATAATATTAAGTGAAAAATCAATGAAGAACTAAAAGATTAAGATCATTCAATTTCTGTATTACTCTTAGGTTTTATTGAGTTATAAAATTAGATTTCAGATCTGAAATTATTAGGCCTGTTATTTTAATTTTTCTGTGCAATAAAATAAATTTGTAAGAAAAATTATATTAGTAATTTGTTATTTTGTCAGACAGATAGATAACCAAGTGGAATTTTGTTGTGCCTTTATTGAAGCTACCATAAATAACCATTACATCCTGAAGAACATGAAGTTTAGTGATGTTAAATACCAAGAATACAAACCACATGAAAATTTCTTTAAAAAACATGCAGCCATGAATATGGCATAACATTTGTAATACCAAAAATTTTTATCAATAAATTAGATGGAAGAATGGTATACAAAAAACATCATCATGCATTTCAAAATTTTATTAAACAAAATGAATATGCACTCTTATTTTATTGCAAAATACAAACAGAGTAAATAACAATTTTCACATCTACTAGCATTGGTGATACCCAAACAAACAAACAAACTTTTATTTTTCTAAAATTTGCTTTCTAAACATTCTTTAGGGTGGAGATAACTTTGCAATACACATTTCTCCACCTCCCTACATTTTGGGCACATCACCTTCTAAAAATTCTGCCCTCATGAAAATAATTAATAATAAAAAATGGCAGCGATCAAAAATTGCCACCTAGTTCATTTTATACATCTTGACTTAGTCTTATTTCCAGGTAAGGAAAAAAATAAATTTAAACTCTACAAATTAAACATTCTTGGAGGGAATATACAATGTTGTGTATGTGTGTGTGTGTATGTATGTATGTATGTATGTATGTGTGTCCATGTGTGTATATGTGTATACATATATGTATATGTATATATATATATTTACTTATTAACTTTATCAAACATGTACAAATAACAAAAGATGAGCTTGCATTTTAAAAATGCATAGAATTATTATTATTATTATTATTATTATTATTTTTTTTTGAAACTTTTACTGCTGCAGGAATTATATTATGGCAGCTTCAAATAATAAATTATTTTAATCACATACAGCAGTTTTTATTTTGATTTATTTTGGAGACATATCAGTTGTAAAAATGACCGAAACAACCTATAAAAATGACTCTCTACCATTCACACAGCCACTAACAATGTGATGTGCCAATTTCATCAATTTATTCACATCTATCGTTTTGGAAAAAATTCTTTTTAACCCATTAAATTGGATTATTATTTTTTATCTCTGTATATAAATTACATCAAGCCTACGGCAGTAACAGCATCACTTTTTTTTTGTGTACTTGTACGAAATCTCACCGTACAGACATATTGCACACACTGCTGATGAACAGCACAAAGGATAAAAAGAATTTTTTCCGATATTTCATTCATTTCTTTTAAAAAGAATTTTTTCCATTTGTACACATCCATATCTAGCAAAATAGTCACCATGACTCAAGGGCTTCAAGGGGAAGCTATGCTTGCAAAAAATGTCCAAGTACATGTAGCACCATGAGAAAAATAAAGTCCCTTCTATTATGAAATGGTGCTCTGAAAAATTTGCTTCCATCCATAAATATTACAATGGTCAGAAAAATACAAAATGTGAAATATTATAAATCTTGAGAAATGTAACATTGCTTACAAAGGTTTTTTTAAAAAGATATATTCATCTTGGTGTATTTAGGCTCTATTAGAATAAAAAATTTAAAAAGCTCTCACTTTCTTCTTTGGGTCAAAGCAGGTATATAATATATGACAAAAATAAAATAATTCATACCCATATTTATATCTTACATATTTTTTACAAGAAAATTAAATTACTATAATTATATAAAAATGTTATTTCACTGTCTCTTAGGGAGTCCTCACAATTTATTTTTATATATAATACATACGGCATATTTATGAGCACAACAACACTCACTAAGGAATGTAGTAATTTAAAGAGCAAAAACACTTTTTATACCACATTCCTGAGTAATCAGAACCGACAACACAGTTAAGCACAAATGATTGCACTCTAAGATAAGGGAAGAGAAGATCACTATTTTCTAGAAGTAATACAGTATTTTAAAAGACATAGTAAGCAAAGCAAATATGGCAGTAGATTGGTACTAATCTAACCAATCACAAAACATTTATTTGTGACAAAGATCTATTAGACAGCATTACTTTTTATTGGCAATGCTGTTTATGAATTTTTTTCCAATCTTTTTCCTAACATATTTTGTTGTACATATTATGTTAATTTTATTTAAGAGCATACAGTATTTCTTTATATAAGCACATATCTTAATATCCACAACATTAGTGGTCTCCCTGATTCTGCAACAGTACTAATATTTGTACTGTGTGATATGTGCTAAAGTTTTGTAAGTACGAGCAATAAAATAATCCTACTAAATTCACTTTAACATATTTACTTTTTTATATTTACTACAAATTAATATATATATATATATATTATGTATTATAAATAATTCTGTATGTTGTTTGTTTATGCTTGTATGTATATCCATATGTACAGCATTTAATATGTATGCTATATATATTTATATATACGCTCATATACAAACAATATGTATAAATATATATGTATATTTATGAGAAAGCTGATTGAGAAATTTACACTTAACAGCAGATTTTAATAGGTTCAATTTTTAAAAAGAATAATAACAACAATAATAATGAAAATGATTTCAAAGTGCCATTGTAGTGTTTATAAAAATAATGAAAATATTTATTAAAATGAAACTGCAAATGTATGAACTAAAAAATAATGATAAAATAACATCCACTCAAATATATCTTATTAAATACAAAATAAGGTTTTTTTTACAAAGAAAATTTTTAAATCAATATATTAAAAGAATTACTAAATAAATAACTATTCTAACAAAAAATTATCTATTATAACAGAAGATTATTTAAAATGTTTATATATACTATATATATATTTATATAAGTATGTACATGTATTTATTTATGCATGTACATATACAATATACATATAGATATATATATAAAAATATATTATATATCTAAAAACATATGATAAAACTAAATGGAATTTGCCCTTTATAAGGACTTGATGCATTAATAGCAATCCTAAATGGCACAAAAATTGGAGTCTCCCTTTTAACAGCATAAACATTAAAGCTCTTTTACAAAAAAAGGACAATATTACAAAAATGATATTTAACATTTTTACCTACAAAATTTTTTATCAGTGCAATGGTTTGGGAACCATGACAAATCTCTGACTAGAATTTTTTTCCCATTTGATAACATATAAAAAAAATTTGATTGTCCCTACCCCTACAAAATATAGAAGGAAAAAACCTGAAGAATTATTGTCTAGTTAATTTATCTTTGGTTTTTTGAGATAAATACATACTATATAAGTATATATATAATATATATAAGTTATATTTGAAACTATCCACAAATTTCAAAATTTTTACTACACAGCCCACATCAAATTATCCTAGAAATGCCTGAGATATTTAAATAAGACTATTTCATTCTGATACTAGGAGAGAATCTTCTGTAGGCTATTTTATTGACAATGTTGAAAGCATTTTTGGTTTTAGTTTCTATGATAACATGCAGGTAGTTTTGATCCACCTAATTTTACACATCACAGCTGAATAATTGCACATATAATCTGCACTTGCCTAATTGGTAATTACTTATGAGTCTGGAAATTTGGCAATTTAATAACTGAGGTATGTTTATGATAGAATCTGTTCAGAAGATATCAAATTGGATTCAAAACTAAAATAATTTTATAAATTTTTCCAATTTGAGCAGATAGACAGAATATTAATGGATATAAATGACATATATCTATGAAAGAGAGGAACAATACAGGAACATATGGAGAAAATCTCCAGAAATATGGGTATGTTATATAATCTTAAATATTATCTAATGTATTTGGCTTCAAATTAATTTATAAAACCTATACAGCAGCAATTATAATATAACAATCTGATGGAAATTTGTTATTAAAATATGAGGACACAATAATAAAATTTATGGTACAAAAGTTTTAGAAAAAAACATTAAACTAAGTGCACACAATAAAATATTCTCACTTTGGAATCTGAAAGACAGATTTTGCTGATAGCACTTATATTCCATAAGGAAATAGTGCCATAGTTGAAAGCCCATAACTGGCTATAATGTTCATATTTCATATGCTGCATATAGTTGTTTTAACAGTCAATTATTTGCAGCTGCAATGGATTTTATGACAAAGTTATTCACATAAGAATATAAATTTCATTAGATGGTTAAAGGGAAAAATGAACACATCTCTCATTGTCCTTATTTTAAAAGATTACTTTTGATATTAAAGAGGATTGGAGTAAAAAAAATTGTATCTAAAAGGTAAGGCTTGAATTATTGCTCAAGGTGAGGATGACGAAGCATGCTAAAATTAATCACAAAAATGCCAACTTTTGTTGACAGGGAGATGCATGCACATTCATATTCATAGTATACTCCTATCAAAATTGAAGAGTCCAATGTTTTTGAAAACAATAAAGTAGATTTTTTTTTTGTGTTAGTTAATGTAGATTCAGATGCTGTACCATACTACTATGCATGGCTTTATGAAGGACAATCTTCTTGATGATAGGTGTTAAGTAACTAACAAGAAATTGTATAAACAATTATTTAGTGGATACTGAATTGCTGATAGTTGCCTATAAGCAGTGATTAGGAAACAATTAAGTGGATATTAAATAATAAAAAGAAAAATGCTTGGCAATATTTAGATATCCTCTAACACCAACGAAAAGGTACAGCTCTTGGTCTATCAGCTCCTTCTTTGACTAGTGGTTTATGAAATTCTCTTCCAGGTCTTGAATGGATGGTTGCCCAGCAATGTTCACAGTAATACTGTAAACAAGTAACATTTGCACAAAAAAATGGAGCAAATTTTCCACCACATCGAGCTCCTTGACATTCATCACACATTTGATCATCAAGAACATAAGGTTTAACTTCAACCTATATAATAAGAATAGATGTAAGAGTATTCTTATATTTTATATATTTAAACAAAGAAATAATTTTAATGAATTTACTTTTATACTTTATTTCATAAAATATAACTACAAGGGGTAAAAAAAAGTTTAGTTAAAGTTTGATTGTATTTACTGGTAAATTTGTTTAAGTATTAATCAAGTTAGGCTGTTAAAATCAGGTAATTTGATTATTATTTATTTATAGTTTAAATCAAAAGTAAATTAATTAAATCAAAGTACAGTAGAGCATCAATTATCCAATTCAATTGGGGACTGGGGTTGGTCGGATAACTGAAAAAACAGATAACCGAAAAGTATATAATACATATAAAAAATACATTATTAGCATAGTATATTAGTATATCCCATGTAATTAGTATATCACCATTAACCTACTTCGTGTTGAATTTTCATCAATGTTAAGCCTAACAAAATAATTTTTTTAAAAATAATAATCGTCACTATTCTATCGTTAAAAATTAGAAAATTAAGCCCTGTTTAAATACTGGCCTCCCTTTCATGGTCAAGACATTGTTGCCAGCTAAAACACACAAAATTTAACAAAAATAATATTAAAGTAGCCAAGACATAGACAAATGTTGTAGCACCACAATCACTAGCAGACATTTGAATTTGCCAACTAGGACGCGGGCGGTTAACCGATGTGACGGTTGATCAGGGTTAGATAATCAATGCTCTACTGTATGTGTGCATTTTAGGATGTGAATTTTGAAAATCATTTATTAAAAACTAAATATAATAATTTTTTAAAATAATTCTTTTACAGATAAAAATATGAAAAACTGTTCTATTTCCACTGATATTTGAATTGATGTTTATGTTTATATTGCAAATTTATTTTAAGTATTGAAAACAAATTAATCTTACCCTTTTTTCAATATCACCATGTTGCAATTGCACAAATCTAGCACTGATGGCTGCTATGTAGCTTTGTTGATTTGAAAATGCCACTCGACCTGCTCCTTTTGGATATTTTAACTCAGGGTCAGTATCAATACCAGCATAGCATACACCACCATATAATCTATCCATGATCATTGCCAATTCCACTAATTTTAGAATGATCAGAATAATAATCCATTAATATACAAAAAAAAGAAAAAAAACAACTAATTTTTTAACACAGTAGTTTCTTTAAGCAAAATTTACTATGATTCTACTTAATATATATAAAATTTTCAAGTTATTTAAATAAAATTCAGAGCTCATTTAAATGAATTAATTTTAAAACTATATACAGTAAAAGGTAATTCTAACAAATGTCAGTATAACAAGATTATGAGTATAACAAATTTAGTTTCAATTTCCTGCCAATTTACTATGCATCTTAAGTAAAAATGTTTAGCTTAACATAATAAAAATTTCAGCCCTTTATGAAACAAAGTAATCATTGCAATAAAAAATGTAAATGTTGTTTTTTGTTAATGAATATTGTTTCAATATTTATCTAGCAACATGAGTTTTAGTCATATTTGTCTACTATTATAAATTGCCAGTGAAATATCCCATAGTTGTAATAGTTGATGACTAGCAAGATTAGTCTGTGCATACAGAGTTCCATGAATATAAGAAGTATCCAAAACAATGTACAGTACTGTACAAGATATGAGATAATTGAAATCTCATTATCATCAGAATAAATTATGTGCACACATCTGGTAGTCTTCAATGTATAGGTTTTATTGCTTAAAAATATGAATATACAGGCATATTTTACATACTAAATTTATAACATCATTTTATACATATTCAACTATCCAAGCCAAAATTCAAAATCACCTGTAAGTCAGAAACAAATAGTTCGAGTTTGATCTGTTATGTAGTAGCTACATAACAGTTCTTGATGCTATTATCAATCAAGAAGTGAAAACTTCAGCTTATGTTATGTATTTTTGCCATTAAATAAAACTAAAATTGATTTATTTATTAATAATTAAGAGGGCTGCATCATGATACTTTCTGCTTTTTGGATCTGATTTCCAAAATTTTGAGAGAGCACAATGTTCTCACTAAAAATATCATAAATCGGTAATACAGTAAAGTCTATGTAGCCACCCATGAAATTCCCCTGTGAAACTGCATAAGTTTTAATATACAGTGGTACCTCAGGATACGAATGCCCCAGCATATGAAATTTTCAGGATACGACATGAAATTTGAACATATTTTTGCTCCACGATACGAACAAAAACTCACCATATGACGTTACATTAGATTGCAGCGCCATTTTTTTATTCACTTCTGTTCATCGGTCTCAGTCCGCGTGTTTGCTTCACAGTGGAAGGATCTTGCTCGATAAAGGAAATCTTGAGGTATTATCAGAAAGTGACTGATTTTATTGAAAAGAAACATCCTGAAAAGGTTCACACTAGCCATATTGCTGCTCAGTTTAATGACATTTGCCTAAGTCATTTTAGAAACATTTTAAAAAGTAGGCAAAGCCAAATCTCTTTGGATAGATATTTTACCAAACGACCTCTATTCTATCCAGTGAAAGTGCTGGTGGAAGTGAAGGAAAGAAAGCAAAAAGCAGTGAATAAAAATTAAAAAATATATAAGCCTATATAAAACAACACTAATTTTTTTATCTTTTCTAAGTTATTTTTAAGTTATTGTTACATTATGTTATGTAAGTTAAGTTTTAGTATCATTTCCCTTCTCCCTCTCCTCCGCCACCAGTTTACACCTCCACCATTGTCTATCCTCAAAGGTAAAGTGCAAATAAAACTACATTTTTTTAATCAATTTATTATTCTATTATTATTCTATTATCAAATTATTCTATTGTGGTTATTTATACATTTACAACTACAAAACACATTTTTCAGTATTTTGCTTACTATAGTTATTTTTTTCAATGTATTACTTAGCTTTAATTTGAGTGTTTTTCGTGTTGGAACGAATTATTTGGTATTACATGTAATCATATGGGGAAAAATGATTCACCTCACGACATTTTCATGATACGATCTCAGTTTCAGAACGGATTAATTTCGTATCCTGAGGTACCACTTTAAATCAAACTCCATCTTGGTGATCACTGGCCATATCACTTAAGTGGCCAAGATAGAAAAACCAAGTATATTGTTTAAATAAAATTGAGCTTGTTGCTGTAGTTTTGGAACAAGTTCCATCCACAGATTCAAATAAAATTCAAATTCAAACATTCAAATAAAATAACCTTTATACTGAATAAACTAAATTTATCTCCAGAATTTAGTAAGAAGAAATATAATTATATATTTGTTCAATAATTTTATACAAAATCTGATTGCATTTTGTAAAAATGTAACTGTAAATCAGCAATGCTTGGTCTATGTAACTGAAATATCACTTGCAACACTCAATAAAGAAAAATATAAGTGAGTCTGATGTAAAATCCAGTTTAATTACCAACACTTTTTTTGACACTCAGACACTTCTGTTATCTAGTGAATTCTGTTTAATAATTTTTTCCAAGTTTCCCTGTTAAAACACAGAATTTAAATAAAACTCTTCATAAACATGTTAGTTCTGTTTAGTAATATACTGTTGAATGAACCTACTGCAAACAGCTTGTGTTCACTGAACATGCAAGTCTGTATTTTAATATTCTATTATTCTAGTGTTAATACATTATTCTGCAAGAAATTTTGAATTACTGTATATTACAAAGGGTACAGTATTATGTTAATTTAATTTTATTTATTTTTGTTTAATTTTATAAATAATCTATATTGAAGTTTTAGCACGTTCAATACAGTACTACAATTACAGTCTTGTATGTAAATTTTTTTCATAAGTAAAGTTGCATTGTATTTTAAAAATGTTATGTTTTATGTTTATTACAAAATTAAATATAAAATTCTGACCATAACAATATCAGAATTCTTCTTCTTATTTCCATTCCTAAGATAACTATTTAGCACTTGAAAAATTTGAAGTTCTGGCTCTCTAATAATATATTTATTAATTTCTGGATCTCAGCCATTCTAAAGTTAGCCATATCTGTTGTAGAAGATAAAATCAATATTACCATTTTGGGTACAGTCAATGTGATGTAAATTTTAATAAAATAAACTGAGAAAATTCAAATTGGAAATGTTTAACAATAATAATCAAGACAATCCTTTTCTTCCAGCAAATATATTTAATAGTAAGACAAATGTTTTAAAAGATACAAAATTATTGGAGATCCTTGATATCTTTAAAGCATCAATAAAGTAAATAAGAATTGCATCAACCACAGAGATTGTGATTCACTGTTGAATGTATGGAGATCATAATATAATAACTAGCTGTGCCCGTGTGGAATTCAATTTGTGACTATAACAGTATCAGTTAAATTATATCTTTTAATTTATACGAATGTTTTAGGAATGCATACAGGACAAAAGACATTCATTATTTTAATCAACAACAAATAGACAAATGTTCAGCACAAGTTTGGACACATGCACTGTGTATCTTGCCAACCACGCGACTGCGCAGTGCGGTTATCCTATCTTGTATACTTACGCACCTTGACCCTCGCCACCGACACCTAAAATATAACGTTTACCTAGATGATATCTTTTAATTTATATGAATGTTTAACAGAATAATAAACAGCCTATGTCCACCCTGAAGATCCATTCTAAATATTGGTGAAAGAATTTTTGAAATCAGATGAGTAGTTTCGGAGATTACCTCCTACATCCAAACTTACAAACTTTACCTCTATAATATTAGTATAGATATTTGATTCACCAATAATATTTGATTCATGAGGCAAATCAATGAATCAAAAAGCAGCCCAGTGAGAGAAACCATTTGATACAGACTTGGATCAGACACTTCACATCAGAAGATTGTATTGTGCTTCTAATTTGTATGTGCTTCCAAAAGGATCAATGGACACTTCAGATTAGAAAGTTGTAATGTTGTTTCCTAGTTCTCATGTACTTCCAAAGAGAGACAGACAGACACTTTACACCAGGAAGTTGAATCACATTTTTTTAAATTTTTGAACATTCTTTTTCAGAGAGTTCAAAAAAAATTTACATATATTTTTAAAAAGATTGAGGAGAAGACCTTGGTAACATTATTGAGGCATCTCACCTCAAGAAACTCTATCTTTTTCTCTCTAACTACATTGAATGCATAAACTTTTACTGTTCATTAATGTTTCCTGTAACTATAAATGATTGCCAATATGAAAATCATTTGTTTATATTTTAATTTTAATATATGGTGTAGATGAGTCATCCTTTGTCTGAATCTTCAAAACAAATTTTCCTAGTAATATGGATTAACTACTTTCTGACAAAACCCAAGGAAAGCCACAAAAATGAGATCAAAAACTGTTCTCTATTGGGATGTGAATTCCATGACCCTACAAAAAAAATTAAAAGTAGGACATTAACAATTAAAATTATATTATATTTAAGCTTAGTTCATACAGAGAGCAGTCTGCCAACAAACAGTGAAAAGAGAAACAAATAGTGTGTCAGCAATGAAATCATTTCAAACTTTTCTGTTTTGTGAATTGCAACCACATTCACACTATTGCTATTGAGGAACATTTGTGACCAATTGAAATGATGAATTTCTGGATTTGTATGTTTTATAATGATTTTAAAGGCTTTTAATATCAACAATTTTGAAAAAGTTTTTTAAACCCATTTTTTAATTAAGTTTGTTTATTTTTTTATTTAAATTTGTTTTAAATCTTACTAAATCATATTTTTATCCATATACAGGTATAAGCAATTTATGCTTTTTGTTTAAAAATTATTTTAAAAATTTTTATTTATCTAGTTTAATTTTATACTGATTATTTTATGAAGGTTTTTATAATATATCCAGTTTAATTTCCCAATTTTAATATAAATTTGTGTTAAATACAGTCGACCCCCTATAACACGGTAGATACGTTCTGAGTTTTATGAATCCAGCTTTTACAAGTCCAGCCAATCACAGCCCAGCATGTATACAGTTTATGGACTACGGCTGTTTGAAAGGTTTCTTCCATAAAATTAATCGATTCTAGACTAATTCAACTCAACATTTCCAAAATACGTATAATTTTTTGGGAATAATCCATATAAACTATGCTATAAACAAAAAATTGTAGGATTACTTACCGAGCGTGCACCGTTTGACTACACCATTGATTAAGCTTGTTTTCATCGTGGAGATTGCCATCGAATGGCGCTTGCGTGCTTCCTGATAAATTAATTTCTTTTTGCGAAAAATTTGCTGAACTTTAGAGACATCATTAATATAAATATAATTTTTATGGATGTTAAATAATAAATGATTTTTAGTAGGTCTGCTGCTCATTTAAACTCAATGGTTTGTGCAATCCTGTTGTGACACGAGTTGGCGATGACATTTTACCGAGTTATAGGAGATTTTTTAGCATGTTTATACGAATACTGTCGCAATTTTTTCGCTGTGATATAGGAATCTGAACTATAGGAACACGTGTTATAGGGAGGGTCAACTGTAATTTATGTAAACCACATATATGATGTAATTTAATACTATTAGTCCCTTTTTTTTTACAGATCTTATTAAAATAAATAAGAACCCAAAATGCATTTTCAAATATAGCAATAATTTAGCCTATATCAATTAAAGTTCCCTGTGTAATTTGTAAAAAAGCCAAAATTTAGACTTAGTAAATTCACAGAAACTAGTAACAGAAACAATTAAAAGTTTGTTTTATTCAGGTTCTGCTTTGGTTTTACTGAAATTAATTTTGAAGTTTTGTTTTTGATAAAAGAAATAAAGCAAGCATAAAAAACAATTTGCTATCAATCACCATCAACAGCAAAATAAACAATCATATAATTGCTTATTTTGCTGTTCTCATTTTGTGAAACGACAGCAGGAATCAAATTTTGCTATGTGACCTAAGCTTAGAGTTCACCACAGCAAATATGAGTCAAGCAATTGACTCTCAAATTCATGTCATTAGATATTATCCACATTAGTATTATTTTCTATTTTATTTTTTCTGAGTTTGATTCAACCAAATATTATTAATAATAATATTAATATACTAAAAATAAATACAACTTTTTACAAAGAAAAATTCTTTATTTCAGTCATTTTTTCGTTGTTCACCCCATCAGCAGTTCATTAAAAACACAAATACTCACGGAGACAACCTTCCTTTTCAGGCTACTGCCTCCGTAGTTAAAATGTAAAAAAATTATAAAAGCGTCCTCTGGTGCTCTTGCCACAATCACATGATACATTTTAAGTAAAAATAAGTTTACATGGCCAACGATTATTTAATATTAACATACTAAAAATAAATACAACTTTTTACAAAGAAAAATTCTTTGTTTCAGTCATTTTTTCGTTGTTCACACCATCAGCAGTTCATTAAAAAACACAAATACTCACGGAGACGACCTTCCTTTTTNTATTATTATTATATAAATGAAGTATTGTGATAAAATTTTTGTAAAAATAAAAATTTACACTTTTTCCCCAAGTAACCAGATGTTTTATTTTATGTAAAAACATTTTTGGCCTTTTAGGTGCCAATAATTTTGCAATATAAATAAAAAATTTGGTTATTTAATAAGCATCTGTATCTTGATACAATAAATTTAGGAGGCTCTTCTCAGAATTTTCATTCTCAGAATTATTTTTTTCATTTATTTTATAATGACATATACAATGAAGGGTAATAGAAAAAAATAACATTTGAATGTTTAAGATAGTATCTTCTAAACTAGAAACCAGTAAGTGTCATGCTTTCAATGGCTTCTGCAGAAGTGTGGGTATACAGTGGGATGAGTTATGCAAAAAGTTTTATTTCTGTTCTAGCAACTTTCTGTAGGATATATGCAGTTGCAGGATATACACACAATATTACAGTATGCAAGTCATATATTGATATAAAAAAAATATTCATATTACAATAATCTCAATGAAAAATGTAATGATAAAATATGATTTAATCAAGAGTTTAAGTTTTAAAACTATTAAACTTAGTTCACACTGAGCGAATAGCGAAAGTGAATGTGAAAAGCGATTTTTATTCGCTTAGTGAAATTGATCCTACAACCAAAAGTGATTGCGAATTTTAAGCAGCCAATTATTTGCAAGCGAGTGAAAACGTCATCTTGAAAAACAAAACGGCTGCTTCCGATATTCCGTCGTTAACCACATTTGTTTATTTATTGAGAAAGAAAAATAAGTCAAAAAGAAAACGATGTTGGGTGAGAGAAATATTAAAATCCGTAATTACAACACATAATCTATTGCGTGAGAAAGTTTCTGTAGCCATCTCGAAAACAACAAGAATCAAATGACAACTAGCAAGAATACGACTGGTGCGAAATTTTTTCGCTAGCAAAAAAGCTCGACGTTCTGAACTTTAAAGCAATTCGCAAAATGGTAAAATTCGCTGGAAACGACATCGTGTCTGACGTGTTATTCGCTCTGTTTTTTGCTTTCACTAGCGAATCGCGCTCAGTGTGAACTAAGCTTTAGACTTTCACAATTAAATATTTTTAGTTTATTTAGTTCTTATTTACCTGCTTTAAGAGGTCTTGGCACACCACCAACAAATACTGTTTTGCGAGGATCTAGAGGCATGGAGGCATCTAATACAAAATCTGCATCACTTAATCTCCAAGGTCGAATTTGTACCTAATATAATATAATACATATATTTCTTAATTTTATTTAAAAAAAGACTAAATATTCACCTGAAGAATTTTTTTGTTTAAAAATGATTAAATATTCAGCTGAAAAGAATGTTTATATTTTATAAAATTTCTATATTAAAAATATATAGAAATTTTCACTTTCTAAAAAGTGAAAACTAGAAAACAAAGAAAAATTAATCTAAAAAACAATTTTTCATACATTTTCACAGTTCTAAAACAGGTGGATGTCATTTAACAATTTTTTGTCATTATGCCTATTCATGCTCTAGCATGAATAGGCATAATGAAGTAATTTGTGTTATAAGTCACATTGCCATTTGTGTAAACATTTATAATAAAAACAAGAAAATACATATATTTTGCTGCATTTAACTGCTATTTCATTTTTTCATTTTTTTTTTTACCATTTACATTTATTTTTAGATAAGTTCAAACTAGTTACTAAAATAAGTTGTTTCAATTTTTTTTTCTTGATTATTTAAATTACTGATAAAATTTGGGATAGTGAAGCATATCATCATTATTTCTACCTTTTTTTGCCATCATTCACTTTGGAAAAAAGTTTTAAAATTTTGAACAAACTATTTTATGATTCATTGCAGTGCTTATGTAAAGTAGATGCTGGAAATAGCATTGTCAGATAACAGTGAAGAAAAACTGCAACTTTTTTTTCATGTTTAATGTAGTGAAATCACCTAAAACATAGCCTGATATTAAAAAGAATAAGGTGAAAATAAAGTCACAACTTTCCAAAATGCATAGAATCTCTATGTTAAATCATAACAACACTTTGGGTGAAAAAATCCCAAAATGGATTATTTTTACTTTCCCAGCTTTGTTATATATAACAGAGGGAAAGTACAGTGATCAGTCAAAAAATGACCCTCCATTTAGAATAAAAAAATACAGTATTTACTAATGCTTTTTCATAAAATCAAATCCATTTAAAACTTTTTTCACAATAATTACTTATAAGTTATTATTATTATTTACAAGTAATGGTACAAACATTATATAAATATCAAAATGATTATTATATATTGGAAAATTAAATCACAAGTCATTGATCAATAAGTATTCATATACTTAAAAGTAAAATGAATGCCAATTGCCAATGATTAACTTTTGAATTGATTCTCAATATAAATGTAAACATTATTTTTAGATCTACTAAATATTACTTTATCAANATAACTCGTTAATAATACCATGGACCTCACATGACCCAGCAAGTTACAAACTGGCAACTTTCAGAGCACTTATAAAGAGAGCATACATACATTGCGGCAAAGTGCAGGACAGACTTAAGGAATTAGATCACATCAAAGAGCTAGCAAGGCGATTCAGAGTTAATCAGAATACAGTAAAGGCCATAATCAATAAAAGAAGAAAGGATGATAACAAAGGTAATGAACGGGGAAAAATAGAAGAATGCACAATGATAGAATACATGGCATCCTTAAGCAATATTTACAAAGAAATAGGAGCAGCAACATACAAAAAGATAATTTTCAAAAGGAATCCAACGGTATACCAGATGTGGTGTATGGACAAGGAAGCTTATGCCAGAGCCTTATTTCTGGAATTTACAGGTATACCGTTGGATTGTACAGGAATAGGATGGAATGGAATGTACAGGTATACAGGTTACGTCGTTCTCGATTATACGGCGTTTGTCAAAAAATATATGGAAAAATAAAATTCAAGTTTAAGTCATTTTATTCGACTTTACGTCTGTCTGCCACAAATATTGAAGTCGTAATATTACTAGAAAAGTCGGCATAACTAACTATAGATAAAGAATCTTCAAATACTGGATTAATATAAAATACAAAAATAATCCCTTATCAAACCTTTAACCAGTATTAAATAAGAGTAATATTACATGCAAATGTTTTCGGATCCCTCCCTGGGTCTTTTCTCAAGCAACGATTCTTCTTTAAAATTCGTTAGAACGAAGATCAGTAGAACAAACTTCTAAACTGCGACATTTGAAAAACTATTTCTTCAGAACCACATTTCAAAAGTCAAAATTCAAAAAATCAANAAGTCGGCATTACTAACTATAGATAAAGAATCTTCAAATACTGGATTAATATAAAAATATAAAAATAACCACTTAACAAAACCAATAACCGGTATTAAATAATTGTAAAATGAACTGCAAACGTTTTCGGTTCCTTCCCTAGGACCTTTCTCAAGCAACAATTCGTCTTTAGAATAAATATGAACGAAGATCAGTAAATTGCGACATTCGAAAAATAAATTATTACATATTATAGCGTTAAAGCGCCAATAGAAGCGCTTTAACGCTATAATATGTAAGAACACCGATTGGAGGGAGATTTTTATTCCCTACCGTCGGGATGGTCTAAGGTCTGCGCGTATGTGGGTGACGGTTTTTAAAGGCAGCAAAGACAAGTGTTTTACAAAGGTAAACCGTTTATTCCGGACGATAATGCTTACATAAAGTCTTTCGTTGACAAAGTCCTGTGTTATTGGTAACACAGGACTTTGGTACCGGTCTTGCGTCGTTGGTAATTTCGGCGGCGATCTGGTCCTGCGTCGTAGGGGCCCCTTTGACAGTGTTGAGAGGAAAAAGTTCAAAGTCTCTAATGTCGGTGCACAAAAAGAAGAACGGAGGTACAAAAATAAGCAGAGACGACATGAACACAACAGAAGTCTAGTGGAAGTCCTGTTGTCCTTGGAATTGGTGCTTTTATAAGTTTTTCGGGATCAGCTTTTTCTAATTGGATAGATCTTACATCACCGTTTTCCAATTGGTCATCCACCTGTCTCCAGGTGTAAATTGAGCTTTGTAAAGCTCGCAGGAAAGGTCGGCTGAAGTTGGTTTATCCGACACCATCTTTTTGAATCTGATCGCGTTTAATTGTTGACTATGACACTTATGCTTTTTTATTATTTTTTTTCTAGTTTCGTTTTGCTTTCTAAACTGCGTCTTAACTTTAATATTTTAAATTTTCTTCTTTTATATCTAAAATTTTGTTTTTCCCGTTATTCTCTATGAGCGCTGACATCAAAGTCGGGTATCGCCGATTCGATACTTATATAATTTGCTTTCTTGACGATTTAACTTAACAAACTTTTTTTTTTCTTATATCTTTCCGTTTTGCGGGGGCTATTTCCGGGGCCTCACAAATATAAATAAGAATATAATAATTGCGAGCCAGTCAGAATTTTTTTCTCCATGTGAAGACATTTTTTTATGCTATAAGTAGGGTGGGTATTATGACAATGACTTTGAATATTACGTAACCGATCGCTCGATTTGTTGTCCCCTGGACGTGCTGCCCGCATGCAGTGCACACCTTGCACGCCCACTTACGGTGGGCCTGGTCCACATTGTACTGTAAACATCACCAAATTGTAAACATGTACATTTACAAGTATTGTACTGTATGTACATGAATTTGTAAATTTAGATTACTTGTTTTCTGTACTATATTAAAACCTAAAATTTATTTGTTTGTAAGCTTAAAATATATTCTTATTAGCCATATATTATTAAAAATTCATTTATCAATAAAATACAGAACTGGGAATGGTTATTTGTGGTTTAGCATAGTGACAAGTAAATTTGACTTATGTCACCTCTCCTGGAACAAATTACCAACGTAAAGTGAGGTATACTTGTATAGAATACCTATACAAGATGAAAGACTGCAAAATGAGCTGTACTACATTGGAGCCACAGGAAGGTCATTAAAAGAAAGATAAAAGAGTATTAAAGGAACATATGAAATGCACTAGCGATTTATGTTATAGCAAACCCAACAGAGGTTACAGTGGAGTGGGAAAGAGCAGTAGTAATACGAAAGATTCAGGACAGGAGACACCTTAAATATACAGAAGCATGACATATACATAAGAACAAACAAGCAGGACAAGCAATAAACTTTAGAGAATCGTATAAAGTCTCTGCAGCATGGAGACCAGGTGTAATATGAATATATCAGTAAAAAAAAAGGCATGGACAGTTAAAGAAATAGGCACAGTTGTTGCTTTTTATCTTATCAGTTAGGTTAATTTATTAATTTATTTTTATTTTTTATGTTTAGTTTATGTGTGTTATATGCTTGTATGTAATTTGAATTTTAATTACTTATTTACATATTGATAATGGACTTGTGCACTTGACATTAAGAAAGTTTAATAGTTTAAAAACGTTCCAAAATAGGTTTTGTTCTGTAGAAATCAGAATCTTTTGATTCTTTCCTGAAGATCAGTCAACTGGCCAAAAGCATCAGAGGATTTAATAAAAAGACCGCATATTAAAAGGTTTTTAAGGTTTGGTTGTTTGTAAATGCAGTTAGAGAAGAGAGTTAGAAAATTTTTTAAAAACTGGTTTGTTGAAAATAACTTGTAAAAAACAATTTAGCACTAGTAACATATATACAAGTACTACAGTATATATGCAGTATACCTTAAAATTGTTTTATCTCATATGTAAAATATAATATCAATATTTAAAGCTTGTTATAAAACAATTACATTTTCTCTGGTTTTAGCTATTTCTGGCAATATATCCATAATTTGATATTATTATATCATCATCCAATAGATAAACATTAACATTATAAAAATATTTTTTAAGTAAATTTTAAATTTATGTAAGTTTAAGATTGAAAATCTTAAATTTTAAATTAAGATTGAAAATCTTAAACTTATGGAAATTTAAAATTTACTTAAAAATTATTTTATTTTTTTTTGTTTTGTATTAATTTATCTCCTGAATATTAATTAAATGATAAATATTATTTGGCTTCTTAAAAAGTTATTTGATTGTTTAAGTGAAAATTATAGTAGATATGTTAAATTCTATAACTTGACAAAATCTTAAATATCTAATATCTAATTTAGATTTGATATATTTTCTGTTATTCTTTGTGTGTTTTATTATTTTGTTCTTAAATAAATTTTTAATTCTAATCTTAGATATCCATTTTAATATAAAGTAAATGCATATTTAATTTATAGAAGAAACTAGAGATGAAGATAAATACTTTTCTTTAAAATCTACATCTATAAAAAGAAATTTCTCTCTCATATCCGTAGAAGAAGATNTTTTGAAATTTTTAATTACATTGTTGTAAATTTAGACATAATAATGTAAATAAAGTTGATTTAAATATTTAGTTTGCACTTTTATACATACGATATTAAATTAGATGAATTTTATAATAGATTCTTAAACAGACTTGATACTTTTATGGGACTGAAATTATGACCCCGCAGATAATGACACTCGGTTATAACATCAAAAAATTGCCGGTCCCATGGATGACGTTATAAGCAGGTTAAACTGTACCATGGATAAATTATATATGAAAGTTTTTTAATGAATGTTCAGAATTTGTTATCCTCAAACTATCATATTAAAATTAAACATATTTCAATATTAAATGAAGATTCTTGTAATACATTTTCTTTTATTTATTGAAGACTATTTTGGGAAATTGATATAATCAGTGGTGATATTCGAAATATTTAACAAAGGGTTTGCTAACAGAAAATTTTTCCTTAACAGTTTTTTTTCGCTCAAATGGTGCACCGGAAGGCTCTAGTTTAATAGTGTTACAGAGTATAATACGTATATTTTAATATATTTTTTAAAAGAATCAAAACCATTGAGAAATGTTACATGTGTTTAACAAGGTTTGGGAAACTTTGAAAATGTTAACAACGGGTTCGGCCGAACCTGTGCGAACCCGCTGAATATCACCACTGGATATAATGTAATTTACATTTAAATAATACTAAATAAACTTTAAAATATTTGATTTATAACTAAAATTTTTTATTAAATCTATACAAATTAGGTGAGAATTTATCAAATTTGAAATTGATAAACATCAAATTTCCAGCAAAACACTCAAATTCAACATTTGAACATTTTCAGACACTCATTAATCGCCCTTCATCATTTTCCTGATGATGGCTGATTAATGAGCGGCTGAAAACATTCAAATGTCAAATTTGAGTGTTTTGCTGGAAATTTGGTATTTAGGTGAGAATTTATATATATATATATATATATTTATTTATTTATTTATTTATTTCCAGTTTAGGGTTGTGTTTTTTATATTCAAATTTGATGGAAAAAAAAATNTTAATTGAGAATTTATATATATATATATATATATTTATTTATTTATTTATTTCCAGTTTAGGGTTGTGTTTTTTATATTCAAATTTGATGGAAAAAAAAATTCAAACTACCTTCATCAATATCAGGAGGGAGACCACCTACAAATACTTTTCGAGAGTAACGTTCTCCAGCTTCAGATCCTGCTTGTGATTTTGGAGAACAATGTAAAGATGAATTCAGAGAAGGTACTATCTGGTCGAGATGTCCATCATCAATTAAATGATTTTCATCCAGTGTTGTAAAAAACGGAGACTTTCCTTTAAATGTAATATTTTATACAATTAAGTTTAGAAAATAAATTTATTACATTAATTTTTTTAGAAATTATAATTATGTAATGAAAATAAAAATTATCCTATCAAAAATTATGACATGCTTAAATTTTTATATTCTGTTTAAAAAAATCTATTCAATATGATGATAAAAAATTACACCATGCAATATATTTTATTACCATGGAGAAAGAAATTTGCAATAAAATAAAGAAATATAAAATTGACAATTTAATTTGTGGTCAAATAATACTGCTAATGAAAAAAAACAATACATATTTATAATTAGTGTATTAGCTTCATAATAATGACAATTATGTGACATGATATTTATCAATATGTTTAGTAATATATATACATAGAGTATATAACTTAACATTAGATACTGATCTGATCCAGTAATGATACTTACTTTTATCCATACTCTATAGGTGTTAAAAATAAATGAAAGCCTGAAAGCTCATTGGTTTAGAGAATATTCACTTTATTCACTAACTATATAAATTCAATTACAAAGATATAAAAGTTAAAAAGTCAATTTTTGCTTTTTATCTGAGTTTTATGCAAGTGTAATTGTCAAGTTTTCCTAAACTTGACTCCAGTCTATTTTTTAGGTAAAACTTCAAAATGTACCTTGAATAAATTTATAACAGTATAGAAAAATTGCCAAATTGAAAAAAATCATTGTCAAATCTCCAACTGGCAAGAAATATCACCAGAAATATACGATGCTGTCAATCACTAAAAATGTATGTTCTATAAAATTTTTTATACAAACAGAATAAGCAAAAGCATTGTCAGCTTGCTCTTTAAACAGAACTTTTCATAAATGAAGTAAGTTACTTTTAAAACAATATTTATGTACCAAGTACCTGTATATTTTGTTACAGTATTTGGATCTATAGTTTTCAACAAAAATCTGTATTACAGTAGAGCGTCGATTATCCGAAAGTCAATCATNATACAATATAAAGTATATAGAAATTGTTTTTTCAAAGTAAATAAGTTTAAAATTTTTTAATTAAAAAGAATTTATTGGTCAGTATTTTCAATAAATTCAATTTTCAGGTACAAGAATATATATAAAAAGTATAGCTTTTAAAATACAGTTTATAATGAAATGGATACAGAGTAGAAGTTTGTTAATCTAGCAATTTTTAAAATAGTAGTACCAGATTAATGAATATTTGTTTTTTTTTTCAAAATTTGATAATTTATATATGATCTAAACATTGCAAACACTGCAGTATGTGCATTGTAATTGGTATTGAAGTTCTATACCAATGCAGGATGTTGTATGCTTTGAATTTGTTTATGTATGCTTTTTAATCATCTGATGATATAAAGCATAACTACAGTGAATTAAGATTGATCGAAAAACCTGCAAATACATCAATGAACTTGTCATTACACAAAATCAACATTCATAATTATTCATGTACACATTCTGTAATATTTATTTTTCAGACAAACACTGTTTACATAGATGTAATCTGTGAATCATAAAATCTACATATGCTCCAAGTATAAGAAATCTGTTTTACATAACTTTCCTTGTATTAGCCTGGTAAGAAAGAAAATTGGTCACACATTACCAAACACAAAACATGCTTGCTAGTCCTAACAATGTTAGTTCAGCACAATACAATTTAAATATGCAATTTACCAAACTACACTGCATAGCATTCAATCTGACACGAACAAATTGTGTAACAAAATCAGTGAGTTTTCTTTAACATATTGCTCTCAAACCCACAGTAGATTTCTCAACATGTAGCAATGCACACAGTCACATTCTCACCTTTGCCTTGATTTCTGTTCAGATCTTTAGCCCACTACATGTCCAAACAAATTCCAATTTACAGAATACTAACATGCTGGATTATTATCAAAGAATTTCAGGTGCAAAATTAACAAGCTTCTACTATAGCATAATTTTAAAAAATTTTACATAAAGTATTAAAACAAAACTCAATGATCAGGAAGGTGGAAGAAAGGCTAAATATAGTTTAAAAATGCTTTATTAAATTGCACTAAAATTTTTTCAATTATTATTGGATCCAATAAATTTAAACTCAATGATATTTTTTTTTACAGAGCAATTCTCTAATAGATCATATCTATTTGGCATATCATCTTTATCTAAAAATTACAAAAAGAATTGAATAGCATGTGAAATTTAAAGAATCATAAATAAGTGAAAATATTAAATTAACCTCTAATAAGCTGTTTTTTGAATTAAAGAATTTTGGATACCTCTTAGGTTTAAATAAATGTTTGAATTCATTGAATCAAGCAGTATTAAACTTTAATTATTGCAAAAATACTTATTGCATTCAATTATTTCTTTTGAGGGAAAAGTTTTTTTTTAATATAAATACAGTGCAACCTCGTTCATATGGCTCAAATGGAACAGGACCCAATCTAGATGACTGAAAATCTGGATAATCCAGAAAATTCATTAACAACATAAATGACACAGTTTAGATGTACATTGTATTTTATTTATTTCACATTATGTATACTTTTACAACAATATTAACAGCTTCTTGTTTTCTATCAGCTGGTACAGTACATTTACATAAGTTTCCTGACCATTTGTGTGGGTTAGAACTTCTTTTTATATCCTTTTTCAAGGTCAACTGATAATTAGGTTTAGTGCTTCGTAGGGAAACCAAAAGATTAATTTGAACCAAAGTAATTGTGATATATTGTAATATATTTATTTTTGTTACCAGATCATGTTATAAAGTCACAGTTGATCAAAATTGGTATTGAGCCAAGGGAAAACAGTATTCTTACAGCTGGAACATTATACTCAGGCAAGAATGTACTACTTATAAGTTAGTTCTTTGATTTTTTTCATGTATATATGTTTTCCATCTGTCTATCTTTCTTATTCTGGATAAACCAGATATCCAGATTAACGGGATCTGGATAAACAGGGTTCCACTGTAATGTTAAATTACTCTTGATTAAAAAAAATAGTTCTGTTAAAAGAATCCTTAAAAATAAGTAAGCAATTATTTATTCTGCTGGGCTGCAATTTTTAATCATATTTTTAAAATTTAAAATATATGCTCTCCATCTCAAATTACTAGTGTCTTACCCCTGTACATCATATTTTTCCCTTAACAACAAAGTCATACCAGTCATCTATCTAACTCCTTTAGGAAAAAATTTTTGAATTGAAATAATGTGACTTTCAGTTTGCATTGGAATATAGTTGTATATAGTTAATCAGGGCCTTCTGCTCCTAATCTTTCATATCTGGTCTCAGCTTACATCTAACTCTGTTCTCTAGATTAAGTAAGGACAGACAGCCAGATAGATGGATGACAGTAGGAATTTATAGGTCTACAATTTTTTCAGATTATAGCCCAATTAATGAAGTTTATTTGTGAAAATTTTGGATTAAAGAAATAATATAAAAGATTTCATTTTGTTACCTTCAAATTGGAACAAAGCCATTTAAATCTTTTGCAAAATCTGAAATTCTCCTAATCCAATATTTTGTCTCTAATGCTTTTTAAAATTTATCAATTAATATAAAAATGAACATATTTCTTATAGTAAACAAAAATTGAATATTAATTTTCAAAATATCAAATAATATACAAAAAACACAAAGTTCCAATAAAGAAGTTTTTATGTGTTATAAGAAGAATGGTTTAAAAGTTCCAGAACTAATTGTTAAATGCATGATTTGTTCATTTAACAATAACTGATGTGTTACTACAGATGCATTTCTTTTTTCCTAATCATTTTCATGCACTAGTGTGAGTAATATTTGGCAATATTTGCAAGCAGAAAAATGACAGATTTGATGGAGCAATATATCTGCATCCAGTTTTTGCCAAACTTAGTAAAACTACATCAGAAACCCATGAAATGCTTAAACATTTGGTAATGAAACTATGGAAAGAATACAGACTTTTGATTAATTTCTTCTGTTCAAACAAGAATAAACATTAATTAATTAACAATATTAAAGGTTTCAATTAAACTTCAACCAGCAGAATCAATTGAAATGTTAAAAAAAATGAACAAGGATCAACACTATAAAAAATAATTAATGATGTCTGTATTATCACAGGTTGATCATAATAATTGTAGTAGACCCCTTTAACATGGGTTCATATAACATGGCAAAAAATTTGCGATCATGTTTGTATAACATACTAAAAGAGACTCGTATAACACGGTAAAACGCCATCGCCGACTTGTATCACAACAGGATTGGTCGAATCTGGACCAATAGTGGACATTGCACAAACCATTGAGTTTAAACGAGCAGCAGACCTACTAAAAACCATTTATTATTTAATGACCATAAAAATTATATTTATATTAATGATGTCGCCAAAGTTCGGCGAATTTTTCGCAGAAAAATAATTTATCAGAAAACATGCGCCCACCATTCGATGAGCCACTCCACGACAAAAACAAGCTTAAGCAATAAAAATAAGCTTAAGCTTCTTTGAATGGTGCACATTCAGTAAGTAATCCTACAATTTTTTGTTTATAGCATAGTTTGTATGGATTATTCCCAAAAAAATTACACGTGACTTGGAAATGTTGAGTCAAATTAGTCTAGAATCAATTAGAAACCTTTCAAACAGCCGTAGCCGCTAAACTGCACACGTGCCAGGCTGTGATTGGCTCATGTATTTAAATGACTCGTACAACACAGAATTCATATAACATGGAACGTATCTACCGTGTTATAGGGATCTACTGATGCAATGTATTCTCAGAAGAAAATTAACTTCACTCTGACACTGGGGATGAAATACTAAATATGGAACCTGTTACCGGTGTAATTTTGCGTGAAAAAATCTTCCTTTCACAAACGTTTTCGAGCTGTCAAGATAGCTCTTCTTCAGGTAGAGAAAAAATTCCGACAGAACACTTCGAAAAATGGAACATAGATATTTAAATAAAAAACCAAATCTAAAAATAGAACACAGATATTTAAACAAAAA